AATAATAATTATAATTAATGATAATACCCATTTTTATCATCTCTCTGCAAGCACTCCTGCTCCTCTGACATCCCTCCTCTGTGGTACTTACCTAACAATGTCCTAACCCTGGTTAAGTCCAACTATCCACTCTTACAAACTTGCATCCTTCTAGCTGAAGATGGCCAAAAACCACAATCATGCTGATGGGTTTCAATATATAGTCTCTGACTTCAATTACTGCTTGACAGTCCTTTGACATTTCTCTAATATATTTATTTGCTCTTCTACTTTCCAAGACAGCTATTTTCTCACCTATAGCAATTTATACCTTTCTCAAGACTTCATATGCTATCTCGTATTATCGTTTAGGAAGGTAAGGTAGAGGGTATCATTTTATTATTAATAGATAGCCCAGAAGACTGAGTCACGGAAGTTAAGGTACTTGTTGGTGGCAGAGCCAGTGCTAGCTCCTTGAAGGAAAGAGCTTCCTACCACTGGAGGGATTAAAGTTCAGCCAGGCATGTTATAAAGGAGATTCAAGCATTCTATGGGAGATTGGAAAAAAGCATTTAGGAGAGACTTTTAAGGCCTCTTCTAACCCTAAGATTCCAGCTTGCTTTTTATATCAAAAAAAGTCTTGCTAAAACTTTATTTTTTCTTCACAATGTTAACTATATATGACTTCTTTGACCATCCCTTTAATATTACATATAACCCAGTGACAGTTGAAGGTTGTTATAAAATCTTTGCTTCTCTCTTCCTCCTGTTCTTTTAATCTTTCTTTCCCCTCCAGCATAAAAGCATGATAAAGTCTCCTGTAAACACAAACAAAACCCATCTTAACCCTGCATTCCAGTTTATCACCTCAATTTCTTTCCCCTTCCCTGTATAGCTAAATTTCTTCAAAGAGGGGTTTTTACTCACATGCCAACTTCCTCAAACTCCATTTACTTCTTGCCTGGAATCTGGCTTTTGCCACCACCATTACCCTGAGTCTGCTCTTGCTAAGACCATCCTCTAGTTGTCAAAGCCAATGGACACTTCATTTTTTTCCCTTTTCTGATACCTGTAGCTCTTGACATGTTGGCTCCTCTCTTTGAAACTTTCTTCTTCTGAACACCAGGCTTTTAACACCAATCTATAACTCCACTCCTAATTTTCGTTCAAGCCCTGCCTGCCCCTTAAATGTTGGTGTCTCCCAAAGTTCTCTCCACAACATCATTCTTTGTTGTTCTCCTCCACACCTGTGGCTTTCTCTTTCATGTCACGCTTCCAAAATATCTCCAGCTCAGATTTTTTTTTCTGAGTTGTGTTTAGCTGTGTATTAATTATTCTAGAGAAACTTTAATTTCAACGTATGTGAAATTAAAATTCTTCTTTTGCCCATACTTCATTATTTCTGTTCCGTGTACATTTGTCACCAACTCCCACCAATTCTGTATCGTTATTCTCTATCACCTCATCTCCATCCCCATTAAAAATGTAAAAATTGAAGTGTCTGGGCTGGGTGGGTGTGGTGGCTCATGTCTGTAATCCCGGTGTTTTGGGAGTCTGAGGCGGGAGGGTCACTTGAGGCCAAGAGTTGGAGACCAGCCTGGGCAACATAGCAAGACCGTCTCTACGAAAAAAATAAAAATTAAAAAATTAGCTGAGTGTGGTGGTGCATACCTGTAATCCTAGCTATTCGGTAGACTGAGACAGGAGGACTGCTTGAGCCCAGTGAGTTCAAGGCTGCAATGAGCTATCATCATGCCTCTGTACTCCAGCATGGGTAACAGAGCTAGACCCTGTCTTTTTTTTAAAAAAAGAAGTGTCTGATACATGGTAACTGCTCAAGAAATGCTGTTCTCTTATTATGCCCACATACATCCTACA